TATGAATTTTAATCCCAAACCTTTTATGCCAGCAATTATAATTTTTGTTGCCATTATTTAAATACTATTTTATATAACTAAGCATTACATAAAATGAAAAACAAACATGACGGGTAATGCAATTTGAATCCATTAGGTAACATAATTTGTCAAATTGCCAACACGCACCAAGCAAGCAAGACAGATAGTGGGCCAAATTCTCTTTTCTGTTCAGATGAAACTGGCCCAGTTCTTTATATTTTAACTCATACTCATTCAGCAACTTCCACTTTACACTTTCTATAAAATCTGTCAATCAGGCCCAATGATCTCTGATCCTCTGACAAAGAGAAAACAGATTCCAATAATATATCTTACATTTTGATTTTAACAGTGCACAAGATGAGCGTTTCAGGTTTAAAGAGCCCTTTGGGTATCTCAGTAATACAGGAATGGAGTTCACAACATTTTAATCGTTAGAGTCTATAAAAGCTGGCTTTAGGAGAACTTTCTATGACGATATTGTCATAGAAAGTTCTCCTAAAGCCAGCTATTATAGACTCTAACAATTAAAATTTAGCTTGGGATCCAGGAACTTTGTTACTTATTTCTCCAGATATTTCTCCAGACCTGAACTCATTCTTAAGTTGCTTTTGCTGCTGTCAAACATGAAAGATCAAGGCAGAAAATCAAAGTTAGGAATCCCATCAGAAAAACAAAGAAATACATAACAGGATTTAGTATTATAAATTCAGTATATTATAAGAAAAATACTGTCATTCAAATATGGCTTAATTAATTTAGTGTATCATATGATAGTATGTTAAGCTAATTATAAGTTTGTTTGTCGATACTACAGAAACTAGATTTAAGGGCACTGCTTAATCTCCTTCTTGTACTATGGCACTAAACACACTATACTGAATTTTTATTACAGACTAGGGTTATTTTATACACAGTAATGTTATATTTGAAGTAGCTACACAAAAATTATCTAGAAAATCAAAACAAAGCACATACATTTATTACCAAGAATATAAAAACAGGGTAGGTGTACAAATGTTTAGTATCTGCTCATCATATTAATAAAGCTTCCTACCATTTATAGCAATGGGCTTGGTTACTTATTGGCTACATGTCTATGGGATATTTGAGGTCAAGATTACTCTGCGCTTCTCAGTGACCTACAGGAGTGCTTAAAATCTTGCTGGCTCAAGCCTCAGTCCTGCTATTACTAGAGCAGTCGATGCAATGCTGTATATCTGCAAAAGGAGTTAGGCAGGGTAGAGATCTGTTTACAGATTAACTGAATCAGAGAAGCCTAAGTTTTTGCGAGCCAGACCTCACTTCACCAGATGCAAAAAAATATTATGAGGCTTAGGCCATGAACAGGCAGTGTTGCACTTTAATGCTAAACACACTCAAAAAGCCTGAGACTGAATCAATCCCATCTTCACAGATTAGTCTAAACTGCATAGATTGAACCGATAAGGAAGTGACCAGATATCCACTTTTGATTCTGGAAACAAAGCCCCATGCTCGAAGTGGCCCAGGCCAGAAGCCAGGAGAAGATACAGCACGCCTCCCCTCTTGGCTGGAGCAGGCTGCTTGGGCCATGGCTAGCCTGCCCACCCTGCAAAGCAGGGTTCACGGGGTGGTGCCAAGCATCGTGGGATGATGGGAAACTCTGCATGAACATGAGCATGGGGCGCATCTGCAACAGAAGTTCAATAAACTGATTTAACCTAAATCAGTTACATCTGATACCATGCCCATCCAGGTTTATCTTAAACCAATTTCAGCCATTTTGAAAGTGGCTTATGTGCATTGAACTTCTGGGCTAGGGATAGAAGTTTCACACAAATTGGTTTAAGTGATCAGAAAAACTGGTTTAAACGTGTAACAGAACAGAAGTTCAGTGCATATAAGCCAGTTTCAAAATGGCTGAAACTGATTTAAGATAAATCTGGTTGAACGCAGTATCAGACTTAACTGATTTAGGTCAAACTGGTTTATGAAATTTTTGTCCCAGCCCCCTTCCTGGTTTAAGTTAAATCAGAGTCCCCCAGCATCCCAGCATGCTTTTCTTCCCAGGGCTGGGCTCAGCTGCCTGCTCCAGAGAGAAGGGCTGGCCCTGCCCCTCTGCTCCCTAGCTTGAGCAGTAGGCCTGGCTCACTGCCCCACCCAGGTAAACCCCAGCTGGGGTCTGGAGCCAGGGAGGGGGGTTAAACTCAGCTTCCCCTAAGGACAGAGCTCCCTGCACTGCTGAAAACTTACTGTTGGCTGGGGTTGTGGACTACAAATCCCAGAGGTGCCTAGAAGCAGGAAGAAGTGACAAGCAACCCTCAGAGTTGCTCAGAGCGGTCCCGCTGCTCTCACTGTGGATTGCAAATCCCAGAGATCTCAGGGGCAG